TGGTCAAGGAAAAATTTGCAAAGCTAATGATGATATTTTTGATAGAGAATCCATATAGAATCTGGACTCGTCTGGAGCTCATAAGCCAAACTGAATCTAAAAAAACTAGAGATACTTTCAAATAGGAAGGAGATCTTCAAAAATTCATGGAAAATGTGTATGGTGAAAAAACCCGCATAGATTTATATTTTTTCTTATTTTTTGGCAGCAGAATAAACTATTACTTTAATATAATTCTCCACAATTTTTTTTTTGAGAGATTTTTGCTATAGGGTGTCTGCACTCGCTGGAGACAGAGAGACAGAAAATGAGAAATCATCCCCCATGGGGTATGACCAGGCTGCAATCTCTTCTCCTCCATTATCTTCTGGGGATTTTGGGCATGCATGCACAAACACCCAGCTTGAGTTTCAAGTCACTGGGACCAGGACTCAAACCACAGTCTGCCATTTGGCAGTCTATCACCTTAACCACTGTGCCACCTGCTGACCCCACTCCATGAACTTTTTGAAATGCCCTCTTGGATGAGATTTAAGCAGTTGAATTGTCTGAAAAGTGAAGAGTAGTAAAAGGACTGTGGACTGTCACTAAGGAGTGAGCCTAAACGTACTCCCCTAGTTATTTATTTAAAATATCCTTTTAGTCTTTAATTACAGGAGACATGCCTCATTTTCCTAACTCTTATCAGTAGATGGATCAGCAGTTGGCGTATTGGCTATGTCGCTGGACTTCCATGTAGTCGACTGCGGTTCGAGTCTCAGACCCGGTGGCTTAAACTCATGCCAGGTGCGTGTGCGTGCGTGCCCAAGATCCTGAGAGGAGAATGGAGGAGAAGGGGTTGCGGTGTGGCCATCCTCGCTGGGGGGGGATTTCTTTCTTTCTGTCTCTCTCTGTCTTTCTGGCGAGCGCATGTGCTCTATAGAAAAAAACCTCTCCAAAAAACAAAAAGAAAAAAAAAAAACCCAAAGAACAAAAAACAAAAAAACAAAACAAAAACAAAGACAAAAGCCCAAAACCAAAACCAAACCAAACAAAACACTTATCAATAGAGATAAAATGTATTATCCAATTTGACCACCCCTAAGTCTCTATTCTCTTTATTCATGATAACATGGAGTATATCACCTTTTGACCTTTTAAAATGCATTACATGGAACCAGCACTATAGTGCAGTGGTTAAGTGCTGTGCAGAAGAAGCTGCAGCCCACATGGCCAGCCCCAGTGTCTTAAAATACTACCAATGGCATCATGGTTAGGGCAGTTGAATCCCACAGGACCAACTGTGCAATTGGGGTCCCAGACTCCATGACTTGAGAAAACATGTCAGGCACCTGTGTATGCATGTTCAAAATTCTAAAAGGAGAGAGAAATGGAGGAAAAATTATTGTAGCATGTCTGTCCACCACAGTGAGGTGCTTTCTTTCTTTCTCTGTCTCTCTTTGGCAAGTGTGTCTGTGCCCTCTGGCAAATTTTAAAAAATGACAAATTAAAAAAACAAAACAAAACAATCAGCCATGTATGTACATGCCCACGATCCTTACAGAAATGGAGAATTGGAGGAAAAAGAATTGTGGCATAACCAGATCTTATTGGGGATTTCTCTCTCCCTTGTGCTTGTGTTCACACCCTCTGGCATTAAAAAAGCGGGGGCACTGCATTTATATGTACATCTAGATATACTTAAATAGCATATTTATCTTCTATTTGTGCTTAATATATTATGTCTTAGAAATCTTCTCATATCAATATATAGAGATTTAACTTTTTTAAAGAATATTTTATTTAACTTTATATTTATCTATCTATTTTTTTTTTTTTAATTTGACCAGAGAGGGACAGAGTGAGAATGAGAGAGAGAAAGCAATCTGCCAGGTCTGGGACTCGAACCGCAGTTGGCCATCTGGGAGTCCAGCACCCCTAACCACCACACCACCTGCTGGCCCTGAGATTTAACTTGTTTTTTAAAACTAGTACTTGGTATTCCATAGAGTTAATGTGTCATAACTTACTTAACACTTACCCTACTGATACCTATTTAGGTTGTTTCCAGTTCTGTGCTATGGCACTCCAACATCTAGGAATCATGTAGAGGTTGTGTAGAAAAGGAAGAGCCATCAAAGGATCATGAAATAGAGGGAATAACAGAAGAGAAGAAAGAAAAAGAGGAATGCTCCAAATTCTGGGAGCCAAGGGTTGAGTGTATTTGAGAATGAGTAAGGGATTAAATATTTCAAACGTGATGAAGGTTTAAAAAAGCTTAAGACCTAGACATATTCAAAGGATTTTGGAACACGGAGTTCACAAGGACTTGTCAACGCTATTTCAAAGGGAGAGTGAGCAGGGAAACATGTTAAGAACGGGTAGAAGAGTGGACAAGAGGGGACGAAGTATCCAGTAAGTGTAGCCATCTTGTTTCTGTTTAGAAAGGTCGTTGTGAAATGAACAGAAAAGTAGAAGCAATGGTTACAATAGGGAGTAGGTCAGGAGGAAAGGTCTTTTTCTTCTTCTTCCTTCCTTTTTTCCTTCCTTCCTTCCTCCTTTTCATTTCTGTTTTTCTCTTCCAGTTAGGAGCTATCACTTTGTGCACGGCATTGGCCAAGTCGTGACTCATCAGTGTCAGTTTCTGAGTTTCATACTGGAATGATGATGATCTCATTGGATGCATAGTAAGTGCTCTAGAAATAATGTTTGAAAATACAAAGGAGCCGTGTGCATCTTTCTTACAGTCATTTTCTGATAGGATAATGTATAAAGAGCTCTTAGGGGATGGGTGGCATTCAGGCAGGACTCAGTGCACATCATCTATTGCCAGTGCCTGCAATGGGAGAGCAACTCTTCAGCAACTGTCCCTACACTTGGCCCTGACTGCTTTTGACTCAAACTAATGACACCAAGTGGCAGGGGCTGAGGGCTTGAGGAAGCACCTGGCTCTCTCTGGTGACCATCATCAGAGGTTGTAAAATGCACTTGGAGAAGGTGCCAGTTAAGAAAAGGTGGTTCCAGGGGCCAGCAGATGGCATGGTTGATTAAGGAGCTGGATTCCCATATGGCCGACCAAGGTTTGAATCCTGGACCTGGTGACTAGAAATTCATGCCAAGTGTGCATGTGTGTGCATGTGTGCCCAAAATTCCAGAAGAATCAAGGAGAAGGGATTGTGGCATAGCCATCCCCCTCTGGGGTTGATTTCTCAGAGTCTCAGACCCGGTGGCTTAAACTCATGCCAGGTGCGTGTGCGTGCGTGCCCAAGATCCTGAGAGGAGAATGGAGGAGAAGGGGTTGCGGTGTGGCCATCCTCGCTGGGGGGTGATTTCTTTCTTTCTGTCTCTCTCTGTCTTTCTGGCGAGCGCATGTGCTCTATAGAAAAAAACCTCTCCAAAAAACAAAAAGAAAAAAAAAAAACCCAAAGAACAAAAAACAAAAAAACAAAACAAAAACAAAGACAAAAGCCCAAAACCAAAACCAAACCAAACAAAACACTTATCAATAGAGATAAAATGTATTATCCAATTTGACCACCCCTAAGTCTCTATTCTCTTTATTCATGATAACATGGAGTATATCACCTTTTGACCTTTTAAAATGCATTACATGGAACCAGCACTATAGTGCAGTGGTTAAGTGCTGTGCAGAAGAAGCTGCAGCCCACATGGCCAGCCCCAGTGTCTTAAAATACTACCAATGGCATCATGGTTAGGGCAGTTGAATCCCACAGGACCAACTGTGCAATTGGGGTCCCAGACTCCATGACTTGAGAAAACATGTCAGGCACCTGTGTATGCATGTTCAAAATTCTAAAAGGAGAGAGAAATGGAGGAAAAATTATTGTAGCATGTCTGTCCCCCACAGTGAGGTGCTTTCTTTCTTTCTCTGTCTCTCTTTGGCAAGTGTGTCTGTGCCCTCTGGCAAATTTTAAAAAATGACAAATTAAAAAAACAAAACAAAACAATCAGCCATGTATGTACATGCCCACGATCCTTACAGAAATGGAGAATTGGAGGAAAAAGAATTGTGGCATAACCAGATCTTATTGGGGATTTCTCTCTCCCTTGTGCTTGTGTTCACACCCTCTGGCATTAAAAAAGCGGGGGCACTGCATTTATATGTACATCTAGATATACTTAAATAGCATATTTATCTTCTATTTGTGCTTAATATATTATGTCTTAGAAATCTTCTCATATCAATATATAGAGATTTAACTTTTTTAAAGAATATTTTATTTAACTTTATATTTATCTATCTATTTTTTTTTTTTTAATTTGACCAGAGAGGGACAGAGTGAGAATGAGAGAGAGAAAGCAATCTGCCAGGTCTGGGACTCGAACCGCAGTTGGCCATCTGGGAGTCCAGCACCCCTAACCACCACACCACCTGCTGGCCCTGAGATTTAACTTGTTTTTTAAAACTAGTACTTGGTATTCCATAGAGTTAATGTGTCATAACTTACTTAACACTTACCCTACTGATACCTATTTAGGTTGTTTCCAGTTCTGTGCTATGGCACTCCAACATCTAGGAATCATGTAGAGGTTGTGTAGAAAAGGAAGAGCCATCAAAGGATCATGAAATAGAGGGAATAACAGAAGAGAAGAAAGAAAAAGAGGAATGCTCCAAATTCTGGGAGCCAAGGGTTGAGTGTATTTGAGAATGAGTAAGGGATTAAATATTTCAAACGTGATGAAGGTTTAAAAAAGCTTAAGACCTAGACATATTCAAAGGATTTTGGAACACGGAGTTCACAAGGACTTGTCAACGCTATTTCAAAGGGAGAGTGAGCAGGGAAACATGTTAAGAACGGGTAGAAGAGTGGACAAGAGGGGACGAAGTATCCAGTAAGTGTAGCCATCTTGTTTCTGTTTAGAAAGGTCGTTGTGAAATGAACAGAAAAGTAGAAGCAATGGTTACAATAGGGAGTAGGTCAGGAGGAAAGGTCTTTTTCTTCTTCTTCCTTCCTTTTTTCCTTCCTTCCTTCCTCCTTTTCATTTCTGTTTTTCTCTTCCAGTTAGGAGCTATCACTTTGTGCACGGCATTGGCCAAGTCGTGACTCATCAGTGTCAGTTTCTGAGTTTCATACTGGAATGATGATGATCTCATTGGATGCATAGTAAGTGCTCTAGAAATAATGTTTGAAAATACAAAGGAGCCGTGTGCATCTTTCTTACAGTCATTTTCTGATAGGATAATGTATAAAGAGCTCTTAGGGGATGGGTGGCATTCAGGCAGGACTCAGTGCACATCATCTATTGCCAGTGCCTGCAATGGGAGAGCAACTCTTCAGCAACTGTCCCTACACTTGGCCCTGACTGCTTTTGACTCAAACTAATGACACCAAGTGGCAGGGGCTGAGGGCTTGAGGAAGCACCTGGCTCTCTCTGGTGACCATCATCAGAGGTTGTAAAATGCACTTGGAGAAGGTGCCAGTTAAGAAAAGGTGGTTCCAGGGGCCAGCAGATGGCATGGTTGATTAAGGAGCTGGATTCCCATATGGCCGACCAAGGTTTGAATCCTGGACCTGGTGACTAGAAATTCATGCCAAGTGTGCATGTGTGTGCATGTGTGCCCAAAATTCCAGAAGAATCAAGGAGAAGGGATTGTGGCATAGCCATCCCCCTCTGGGGTTGATTTCTCACCTTCCCTTTCACTGCCTCTCTCTCTCTGTCTCTCTTTGTAGCTCTCCAGTGAGCATATGTACCCTATGACAAAAACCTAAGAAAAGAAAAATTAAAAAGGAGTGGTGATTCCTCCAGCCCCCTTCCCTCTACCTCACAAAAATAATTCATCAACTTGGGATTAGCAGTTGGCATAATGGCTATGTGGCTGGACTCCCATGTAGCCAACTGCAGTTCAAGTCCCAGATCTGGTGGCTTAAACTCACGCCAGGCACATGTGTGTGCATGCTCAAGATCCTGAGAGGAGAACAGAGGAGAAGGGATTGTGGTGCGACCATCCCCCGTGGGAGTGATTTCTCACTTTCTGTCTCTCTGTCTCTCTCTGTCTTTCTGGCGAGCACATGCACCCTGTAGCAAATAAATAAATAAATAAATAAATAAATAAAATAAAAAACCAAAACAAAACAACAATAATTAATCAACTCTATTATCTTTGTAGAATCAACAATAAGAAGATTCTTTTTGAAAATGAATTTACTTTTGTAGGAAAGAAAAAGGATGTGAACATCTTGGACTTTGATGGGATGCACTTTGTGGAGCTGTTAGTCTGAGGGGAAATGTTCATTATAAAAAGGGATCAGGCTGAGGCTGTAGGGGAGGGTATGTCCTGCAGGAGGACGGAGCCTACCTTCCAGAGAGCTCACGGTCATTTCCAACATAGGGTAGCAGATACACCACAGAAATAGTGCCACACACCACATGGTAGGTCAGACCACTGCGCTCAGACGCCAGCTGCTCAGAACATAAATCGTCTTTAAACACCCAGGATGTGCCTACCTCCCACTGCCATCTTTGAACCAATTTGTCAATCCTCGCTCATTCCATGGTCCCTTGTTTGAGCCTTGATAATACTTCTGAAGGGAGCTGGGGACACTTTGACCATTCATCACAAAATAGTGCAACATTCTGTACATTTATTACAGTATACATGATGACCGCACTATTAGCTAAAAAAAAAAAAAAAATACTTTCATTTCTCTGAAGTTTTCCTTTATCTTTACCAAACAGATACCCAATATGACTGAGAATTTAATACCCTAAAGTTTAAGACCGGTTTGTAAACACGGTCCCTGGTGGCCGCTATTGATCTTTTGCTATTTTAATGCATTTTTACTGACCGACATGTCCTGTGGTAAAGAATATTGCCTAAATTAGTTATCTGATTGGTTCTTTTGATTAATGATGGGCCTGTGCTTCATTACACATGACAACATGATCAGAATAATCACTATTGCTCTACGAGCCAGGCCTGGCATTTTTTATTCCTTCATTTTTAAAGTTCATTTATAAAATTATTTAATGTATACGTCCTAAGTTGTAATTTATTTACATGACACTTTTTTCGATGGGAACTGTTGTACTGTGTCACAAATGGCTAAGAAAACAAGGTAAACTAGATGTACAGATCAATGTCTCTTGGCTCAAGGGGAAAAAAAACATCATCAAGATTCAGGAGCTGACCTTGTACCAAAGTCCAACTTGTCACAGAACAAACACTGAGATACCCGACAAATCACCAGGCACAGCAGGACGTGTTCTCCTGCAATCTCTTCTCTCCGTCACCTTCCTCTGCCGGGAACTTTGAGCTCTTAGACCTCTCCACTTCCATTTTATTGTGCATGGACTAGGCTAGTGTGAATTATTCCTGGGCCTGTCACTCAACCAGAGCTGATCAAGTGAGCTTCTGGTTCTTATGTTAATTTGACTGGAAGGTCTATGAGAAATCCCAAAACATCAAAAATCAGACTTTGGGCTAAATACTATGTTGTAATCCACAACAGAATATTAATTCTAGAGAAATGGAAAGATCACAACTGCAACTACTAAGTTATGGTTGATACCACCTCTTCAGAGGACCTGCTTGAAATGGTTTGGCCTTCTGAAAGCTATCTGGGTAATCCATAGGTAAAGTTTGGTATAATTGGTGCTACTCGAAAATATAGTACTTTCCAAATATTTTCTCTCTCATGGTGTGTTAGCCATCTAATAAAGATTAGGAGGAAAAGCTTCTGCCTGGGTTGTTTTGGAATTCTGTTTTGTGAGTTTCTAGAATCCAGTTTAGTGCGGTTTCCAGGGGGCCAATGCTGGGCCCCAAGTCAGCTCTGAATCTCAGAATCAGATTCCATTGCAATCCTTCTTCCTATAAGGCCTTGCTACTCTGAGGCAACTTGGCAAAGTGTCTAGCTACCCCTCTCTCAAGAGAGTGACTCATTGATCAAAATGAAATAAGGCCAGGGTCATGCTGGATTGTATTGTTACTCCACACATTTGATTGTCTCTCTCTCTTCATTCTCCCTGCTCTGATCTTTATTTTTTTTCTGCTCACCTCTCTCCCATGAATCGTCACCATTTCTCCTGTAAGAAGCCTTGCTGTCTCTCTCAAGTTTCTTATGGAACTTCTGGCTCCCTCCTGCATTGAATGTATGAGGGGACTCTGTGCCTATGGATTCATCTCAATGAATTACTCAAAATATTAAATTTGAACCCAATATTAACACTGGACAAGATGTATGAATGCCGTCCGAGCTGAATAAAACAAAGACTTTCTATTCATCCTTCGGAATTCTTTTCCATCCTGTTCACATTTGCCAGTGGATAAGGTGAGCACTTGCCAGGCCACTGTTTAACTAGGGCAAAAGTCTTTGGGAACTAAGGGGGTTGCAGGGTACTGACGATGCATGTTGTAGACCCTTCCAGAGTGGAGAGCACCTTCCTTTCCATGTACAGGCCTCCATGTTGACCTCTCTCCTTTCTTAGGTCCCAGGGAATATGGACTCCTCTTCTTTCTACTACCCAAGTGGGGCATGCATTATTAGGTGGGGTTTCTGCACTATGTCCTTTATTTTCTATGATCCTTATCAATTCCTGGAGCATTGGTCATGTTTTCATATAGCTGAAAAACAGACAAACCTAAAGCACATTACAACACTTAAAAAAAAGTTGACAGGTTCAGCCTCCTATACGCTACATGAATTTCAAAGTAAACAAGAGACCAGGATGTGGGTCCCCAAGCAAAAGCACTTGAAATAAAATGAAGTAGATTTACATGGGCCTCCCCCACCCCACCCCCTTGGACTTAATTAATGTTGTAAATAATGCTTCCTATCTTCTGCACAGTGATTTGCTCTGTTCTGCTATTAAAAAGTTCTGTTACGTCAGTTCACACAGAGGCATTTGCACAGCTTAGACATGAAATAGAACTTCAGTGGAGAGCCTACCCTAGGAAATGACTGTGTGTGTGCATGCAAGCGTGTGGGTGCATGTGCGCCTGTGGCCTGGAAAGGCTTTCTGGGATATAAGATAAGCCAGCAAGTGAGATTATGTTGAATATGCAAGTTATATGTTAATATGATTAAATGACTACTGGATCGCCCAACATAATCAATTGAAATATTCACCAACTTTGTGTTGAAATTGGAAGAAATTATTACCTTGAGGCTGCCAAACACATTTTACAGCTTTGCATTTGCAATAATGCGTGTCTCACTTAGCATTTAAAAACATATTTTTGACTTTAATAAAACAAGATGAGTCTATTAAAGAGATACTCACTAGAATGGAAGGAAGATCAACAAGCACAGGCAGCTACCCGGAGGAAAGTCATCTGGGTAGTGGAGGTGCCTGCCTGTCCCCTCCCTTCTTCTCCCTTCCCTCCCTTTCTTCTTTCCTTCTGAGGGGACTTGAGACTGAGTTTTCCAAGGAAAAGCATCCTCTGCCTGCCATTCCTATTAACGTATCATTGAATTACTTGCCTTCACTCTCAAAATCCTACAAAATGATTTAGTCTCTTGATGTGATTGACTTGTATTTTAAAGCTCCATGCAACACTGTCCAGATCATAGAGATGTAAATGTGTCTTCTCTCTTCCCGAACAAGCACAGCTAAAACAAATAAAATCAAAGATGCATATTCCTTTCCCATGGCTTGGTAAAATGTAAGTGATGAGAGGAAGGCAGCCGTCATTTGGCTCTGTTCTATTATTGACAACAGCAGAAGTAAAAATTAGAAAACAAATCCCCTTTTAAATGAAACGAAGTAAAAGGCCTCCCTCACTCAGAGGAAATACTAATTGGAACTACCTTGCTAATGCTAGCGAGTCACAGGAAGGAAACATTAAGTTATTATTTTTAATAATGTTTACAAGTATATCCAGCCATTTCCAGCCGGTGAAAGATGTCAGCCTTGGCCAAACGTGGCAGATCTACTTTTCACCAAAGATGCTGCTCGTCTTCTCCCTGATAGCAATCATTAATTTTATTTTTTAACCCAGTCTTCAAATGAAGACAGATGAGCTAGAGAGTTTTAAATGCAGGCTGCTTATGTTCAGAAAAATGGTTGTGAGATAGCAGATCACGGCATCTGAGCCGAGGCCAGTTACTGTTTGGGAAGAAAATAAAAACAAACGTAAGATGAACAGCAAAGCCAGGCCTCAGAG